TTGTTTGATGTGTTGTGCGTTCAGAGATGCTCTTCTGCATATCTCTGTTGTAACGAGTGGTTATTTGAGTAACTGTTGCCTTTTTATCAGCTCACACCAGTCAGGCCATTCTCCTCTAACATCAAGGCATTTTCGCCCACATAACTGACACTCACTGAATATTTTCTCTTTTTCTGACCATTCTAGTGATTGTTGTGCGTGAAAATCCCAGTAGATCAGCAGTTTCTGAAATACTCAGATCAGCCCGTCTGGTAACAAAACCATGCCACCTTCAATCACTTAAATCACCTTTCTTCCCCATTCAAATGCTCGGTTTGAACTGCAGCAGATTATCATGACCATGTCTACATGCCTAAATGCATTGAGATGCTGCCATGTGATTGGCTGATTAGAAATTTGCATTAATGATCAGTTGGATAGGTGTACCCAATAAAGTGGCCGGTGAGTGTATAACACTGATTCATCCCAACATGAGGACATCCAGCTCCTTTAAAACTGTGCTCTGGAGTGGCCAACTTTGTGGAAAAGCCCAACATGACCAGATATCAGCTTGTGGGAGATAAAGTTCTAAGGCAGACAATAAGGCTTCATTATATAGATGTGAACCACTGACCCTGGCTGATGGCAATCTCATTAAATTGTGCTTTATGGCTTTTAATTCACAACATGACAGAGTGCAATAAAACTGCCTCTACCTCTTGAATTTTAAAACATGGTGTAAAAAAAGTCCTTGACAGAAGCAACCACAGGGTGCAGTTACCTGTGTGACAGCTAAAAAAAATATCCCAATACAACAAATAGAAAATTCCTCCACACCAAAAAACAGTTTGTAGGGAAATTATCAAAATCACATCCTACTTTTCCCAGAAATGGGTTTGTCGTCTTAACTGCTAGCACACAGGTATAATTGCATATTGCCGTGAGGAAATGGAAAGGTGTCAGGAAGAAGCCTTCAAGCGCTTTACATTGTGCAAGCGCTGATGAGGGCGTAATAAGAACCTGGATCCATATAGCCAAGAGCGACACAGGCAAGCAGTCCAGCTGTGTCAGAAACATTAGACTTGTCTCACTGTGCATGTTTCTATTGGTATGTGAACTACTCACATTCACACTCAGTGTTCAGTCACAGTTTAGTGGCTTCCTTCTTAACTGGCACTGCATATTTCACTGTATGGGGTCTAATGGAGAGAGCTATCAAACAGAAACGGTCTGTGCGCAATTGTATCAAATGTCGTTTTTGCCTGCCACGTGAAGAGTCTCATCTGGTGTACAGTCAGAAAAAAATGGGATCAAGTTTGATATGGTGCTCCATTTATGTACTGAATGTTCCTGTAGTGCAGTTCACCCCTAAAAGTGGGGTTGTTTGCTGCATCAAATACTCCATCTCATGGGACATAAATTGTGCATAATGGTCTGCTTACATTGCAGTGTATCTTAATGAAGAGAAATGAACTGTTTAAAGGCAATGAGCAGTGAAATTGTTATTAGGACCTTTTGTTTGTTTGTTTGTTTTTGTAGAATTTCAAATTGAATAATGCCATCTTAACTCTTGGCTTCTTGATTTATTAAAAAAAAAATATATATATATATATATATATATATATATATTTTTTTTTTTTTTTTTTGAAGGATTTGTTTTATTGTTCTTTGTAGTTTAAAAAATGCAAAAAAATGTAATTGTTAACATGCACAACTTAAGTTCCCAAGCAATTTAAATTTAGCAGATTATCCCTAAATTGCTTAATTTGAGCAATAGGATCTTTTTATGTTCGCTCTTCAAAATTCCAAATGGCTTTTACAGCAATGCCATTGTAGAGTCATTTTAATTATTTAAAGAACCTTTCTTTTTCGTAGATTAAAAAATGTTTTACAATCTTTTCCCACTATAACACCTTTTGTGCTATGAAAGGTTCTTTAAGTGTTAAATGTGCTTCATTGGGTCATGAAATGCCAATAAAGAAAATGTATTATTAGTGCACTTATCTATTCATTTATTATTTAAAATTTAAAGTACTTTGGGTCTCCAAACTGCACAGTTTAGCTCCAACTCTAATCAAACATACCTGAACAAGCTAATCGAGGTATACTTGAAACTTCCAGGCTGGTGTGTCGAGGCATGTTGGAGTTAAACTCTGCAGGGACACCGACCCTCCAGGACCAGGATTGGTGACCCCTGCTTTAACCTTTATCATTTACTAAATCCGGTTGAACTGTGTAGCACCAAAAATTATGACTACGGTTTGAATTTTGGCATTCTGTGATTTTGCTCCAGTGTTAATTAGAGTCCATGTTAGGACAAAGTAAGCAATAAAAAATGGGTAAAGTGTATTACTTACATTGTAATATTACAACTTATGCTGCATATTCTCTAAAATGAGTGGCATCACTCTTTATTAGTATTTGTCAGAAGTTATATATATATATATATATATATATATATATATATATATATATATATATATATATTGTTTGTCAATCCCAGTTGGTCCCAATTGACATGTACAAGACAATTTGAATTATTTCTTCAGGGCTATTTAAGCTTTTTAAATCATGCTATTGATGTGCATGCCAATGTCCTTACAGAGTTTCATTCCATTTTAATGAAGTACATTTTAAAACACAAATATAATTTGTTTTCTGTGTCCTCTTTTTGAGAACCAGATTTTTGTTTATGCAAAAAATATTAATATTAAGTAAAAGTATATGTTCCATGAATACATTTTGTAATTTTCTGACCGTAAATACTATATATTCATAGTTTTTGCATATATGTATTGTAGTTAGCTATGTATTAGTAATATAGCTAGAAACTTAATTTGAACAACTTTGAATGTTATTTCTCAATATTTTGAATTACAAATACACTGAAAAAACTGTTGCAAACAATTTATTTGTGTTGAATTTAAACAAACAAATTAATTATTAATAATCTTCAACTTAATTTGTTTGTTTAAATTCAACACCAATAAATTGTTTACATCCACTTAACGTAAAAAAATTGAGTAAATCCAAGCAATAATCTCTGAATATTTTTTTCAGTGTAGTCATATCTTCCAAATAATGCAGAAATCTCAAATTATAACAAATTATTGCTTTCAAATTAAAAACACTTAGAGCCAATTTGTCACATATTATTGGCTGCCTGTTCTGTCCGAATTCCTTTTTTTAACAATTGTCTTGACTTAACTAGGTCTTATAATTTAATTAAATCAAAATCACACAATATCTGAAGCGTTTTCCAATACACCTGGTCTCTGTAGCATTTCAGTAACAATCATTCCTTTGGGCTCAAATTGTATAATAATCTGCCTTGTCTACAGCACCACAGGCCACTGCAGCCAAATCCTTGTCAAGGATTATCTGTTAAAACTTCCCTCCAGTGTTGACCCTGTCTGTATTGCATATTATGTGACAGTATTGGCAGGAGTGAACTTCTTGATGTTTTCTCTTTTTCCACTAATGAGCACAATACACTGTTCTTGCTAGTCTTAAGTGTCTTTTCCCCCTTCCTCTAATTTTCTAGTTTAACATTGTAAGCGATTTTAAAAGACATCGCAAAGAGCACAAATTACCCTGATTTTTAACCCCAAGAGTGCACCCTAATTACTACTATTACAGAAGGGAACATGTAAAGGTGAATGCTAAGATGATTCGCAAAGCATTTAAGTATAGAACGCAAGTGATGCGAACACAGTGATTCATAAAGCTTAATGAAGCCATAAGCCAAGGCCTTTGCCACAGAATTAAACCTGTCACGATTACAGAGTATGACTCCTCTGGAGAGCTGTAATAATGGTGCAGGAGCCCAGACTTGGTGGAGACACTTAAGTGTTAGTTTTGACAGGACTGACTTGTACTTCTGCATTCTCTAGGAATCAAATAATTACCACAGTGCAATGCAAATCCTGCAGTGGGAAAAAGAGAGTTGCATGTTAGGTTTGTTTCACATTGAGTTTGTTAGGATTCCTTGAATAAACGTTACTGATAAATCTGTTGAGCAAAGACTTATAACGCATATTTAGGTTTATTGTTTAAGATCAGTTTTACTTCTGTTTTCATTTTAATGCATTCTGTGAGATTTACTTGTAAACTCTGACAAAGCAGAGCAAAGTTCATAACCTTTAAATTGACAGACTCAGGCTATGTAAGTGGGCGCCATACACCTTGTGAAGGTAGCAATTTTCCAGTATTACGGTTAAATCCTGTTAAAAAAGAACCGGATTTGAGGAGCCTAATTACAAGGTGTTAATAGCAACAACATTGTAATTACTGTAATTTACATGCTAGCTTGAAACATTTATTCCCCTCCAAATGTATGTCACAAATGTAATCATTTATAATTTAGATTTTGCTGTTGCTGCATACAGGATCGTTTGTTCTTAGAGCACTATTTTGACTGAAAACTCTTGTAAACCGTGTAAATTGCGACCATTTTGAGGGATTTAAACAATGGTCCTGACCTATTTTATATTTTCATAGCTTCTGAGAGTCCAAAAAGCTCCACATATTGATAAATAATGCTGTTATAACACCAGCTTATGATTGAATCGCCTCTTGTTACAGATATGAAATAGTTTGACAAGAAGGAAATGTTCATGGGTCAATGGCATGACCACGTTGAAATAGTCTATATGAAGTGACAAGCTTGACTGTGTGTCTTGAAATGAACAAATTATTGATGCCAGGGGTAATTTGAAGAAAAACTTCAGCTCTAATTTTAGCGTCTGTATTTCCCCACTATAAACACCACATTATGGTCTAAATATAAGCTCTTTATCCGTGAAGAGTATCATTTAACGGCTCAGGAAGTTCACTGCAGATCTCTTGATGAGGCAATCACGCGTTCACCTCCCTACAAACACTCATTTCTGTGTCTCAGGATGTCCAGAAAGGCTTTCTAAGTAGGCGGCTCTCTATGATTTGAGACGCAGTTTCTGACTGAACGATGATTGGCTCAAACTTTGGAGAGACTTGTAACTTTTGTCAAGTTATTGTTAGTCATGTAGCTAAAAGTTAAGGGAGAGCGAGCGCGTTTACAGGTTAATGGTTCTTACTCAAAACGTCGATATTTTCTCCGGGATGATTTCTGCTAATCATAAAAGTAAAGTGTCCTCCGATGAAGATGATGATGACCACGGCTCACGGTCAGTGCGGACGCAAAGCCTCCCGTTCAGCGTCGATGCCCTGATGTCGACTAAAGAAAGGAGCGAGTCAACTTCACGGGGATCAATTCATATGACACGCATCATAAATCAAGATGATCGATCAATATATTCAGATTCGGTGGATTTCACCAAACGATGTGAATCTGCTAAAGAGGACTCCTCATGGATCAATAAGCCAAGATTGTCAACATCACCACGTAAGTTGCCAGAATGGAAACGGACAGTTAAATAGTAAAGCAATGTGAAGCAATGTAGCACATGTAAACAATAATTAATTATTTATTTTATTCACTTCAAGGCTGTAATTCTTACAAATATGAATTTGAACAATTAATAATTAGTTTGTAGGCTTACAGATTGAATAAATATTTCTACTTGTCTGTCTGTCTGTCAGTCTGTCTAGAAAATAGACAGTATTCTTCCAATTTTAAAAGTCTTGCTGTGTTAGCAGAAAAAAAAATATTAAACTCTTAAATATAAAAGTTTCCAAATGGGAGGTATTACATGTGATTTAATAAAACTTTGATTCCCCAAAAGAACCTGTCTGTGAACAGTTCTTAAAGGAACAATTTTTTTATATAAAAGAAAACCATTGAAAAATAAATGTGGATTAAGGTTTCTTTGGTTTTAAAAGTACAATGAAAACCTTATTTAAAGAATGTAGCATCAATTATGGGAACATAAATATAGGTTTAGTCCTGTGTTAAAACAAATTATTCTGCCTGATCTTTTTATAAACTTATTTTACAGGCTCACAGAGTCCCACAATATGCCCTCTCCGAAAGCACAAGACAAACCGCAAACCCCGGACACCTTTCACCACTGCTCAGCTCTTGGCCCTCGAGCGGAAGTTCCGTCAGAAGCAATACTTGTCAATTGCTGAACGTGCTGAGTTTTCCAGCTCTCTCAGCTTGACTGAGACACAGGTGAAGATCTGGTTCCAGAACCGAAGAGCGAAAGCCAAACGACTGCAAGAAGCAGAACTAGAGAGGTTCAAAATGGCCAGCAAACCCATCTTACATCCTGGCCTTACTCTACCGTTTCCACTCTGTACACAACCTCAGACTGCAGCTCTAGTTTGTGGACAGTCTTTCCCTTTTAGCAGACATATGCTGCCTTTTGCACCTATTGGAATATACTCCACACCGATGGGTTACAGTATGTGTCATCTCTCCAAAGACGGCTACTCTGTGGAGCCAGTCTAGAGGAGCTTTTCGTAACTATTCGTTTATCTGCTGGACATATTGACATTTTTATATTTGACACACCAAACATGGGGTGTCATACATTTTTTATATATATTTTGGATTTCATTTTTTTTTTTTTTTACATCCAACTTTACTTCGGAAGCTACCAAGGACTAATGACATACTTTGAGGTTTACTGATCTTAAAGTGTCACAGAATGTAATACCATTCTGCCATTTTGCTTTGAAATATTAATCTTAGAGGGATTTTGAGTCACACTACTAAAAATAACTTAGAAAATTAGTTATTTTACCAAATATGTTTCTAGAATAAAGCATAGCTGTGTAAGGATTCCAAACTCAAGTGTGTTTCTAAAAAGCAAATGTAACATTTTATATTTTACACTTGATTTGATTTACATAATTTGCACCAAGATTGTTTTGTATCCTAATTGGATATTTTAATGAAAGAACTATAAATATTAAACCTTTTATGCTCAGATTTGAGGTGTGAGTATTTTAGGGAAACATTGGAGAAGGAGATCAGCTAACCCTTTTAAAGCCGCAAGATTGCTAATGCTTTTTAAATTGAGCTGCTGAAAAGAGGCTTTTAAGCGTCCCTGCTCATAATCAGTGAAAATGTTGTTGGACCTCTTAATGCTGGTGGTCCCAGGAAAGTTAATTAAACGGTGTCATTACATGACGCACTAAAACACCGGGTCAGTCAAGTAAGTATTTCAGCTCTTAAATCTCGCTGTGTGCTTGACGGAGGAATGTGTCAACTTGATGCATTTCCAAAACGATTTCAAGAAATGTAGTGTTGCTTAGAATTTATGATCAATTAATTGGCTTTGTCGTACAGCTGACTTTTCCATTAAATTATCTATAATCTGCCCCAACTATGTATGTGGAATATCTACACAGTAAAAATAGCCCAATATAATAGCCCCCTTCAGTCACAGTCCCTCAGCCAGAGTGAATTGAACACAACTGCTTATTTTCCATAGACACCAACCGTGTCTTAGCATGTCCCTTGGTACCAGAAAACAGATAGGTCTTCTCCGCATGGTTTCCCCTTTAGAAAATACCCTTGCCTTTGTGTTGCGATTTGACTTTGAGCCTTAACTGATCGTGAATGCCGAGTTCTATGTCAACCAGACCGTTTACTAATTGTCCTTACCCTCCAAGTTTAACTACACTAGTGTGAAATGGTGTATGTTAAGACCTCGGCGATAAAAAACATTACATGATTGGGTTCACCTTCTTTTGCTCACTTAACTGTGGCCTTGTCTGGCACCGGCTAAAGATTTCTTGTTACTCTACAACCATGTTACAATTAGCAGTAATTTCACAGTCCATTTCTGTTTCTTTGTTTTTAAAACAAGCTGCAACATTAGTTTGATAACAGATCTTTCTGTCGCACAAAATTGACTTTTGGCCTGAGATGGTGGTTTTACTCCTTTTTGGTTGAATTGTTTTTTCTGACTGCTCCATCCACTAAGACTTTGATCCTTGGTGACTACGACCAGGGAGGTCCACAAAGGTGTTTTTATCCATGCCAATTGAGCACTTCAGACTAAAAATGTATTAAAAGGAAAACAATGGAACCATTTACTAAATATTAACCTCCAACTGACCCTTAAATCTCAACATTTAGCTGTTTACTGTAACTAAAACACATTCAATCTTTCATTTTCCTTCGGCTTAGTCTCTTTATTCATCAGGGGTCGCCACAGTGGAATGAACCACCAACTTATCCAGCATATGTTTTGCACAGCGGATGCCCTTCCAGCTGCAACCCAGTACTGGGAAACACGCATACACTCTTTTTCACTCGCATACACTAGATTATTCAATTCACCCAAATAGCAAATGTCTTTGGACTGTGGGTGAAACTGGAGCACCCGGAGGAAACCCATGCCAACACAGGGAGAACGTGCTAACTCCGCACAGAAATGCCAACTGGCCCAGTCGGGATCCAAACCAGCGACCTTCTTGCTTTTAGGCGATAGTGCTAACCACTGAGCCATCGTGTCTTCATAACTAAAACACAGCATATTAGATATACATATATACAGTAGGAAGCCTGTTTAACAAAATATGCACATATGGATTTTCCATATGGTCTATGGATATGGAAGACCTTTTTTGGCATCCAAACTGTACTGATGACCAAAGTAAATGTCCTGGAATTACTGTCCTGAAATCTGTGAGTTTCTTTCTTCTGCTGAACACAGTAAAGGATCTTTTAAAGAATTTTGGTAACCAGTAGCTTATTTTTTTAACACTGTCTTTATTGATTTTAGTAGCTTTTATTATGTACAACAGAAATCTAAACCAAACATACAAAATAATAATAATAAATGAAAAGTATAACAATGAAAAAAATATATGTATATACAAATATATAAGAATATGCATGCAGGAAACCTACAAAGGAATTTAAAATTTTGCAAAACTTTTCAGGTTTTCTTTTGAATATATGTCAATTTTTCTAAGCAATACAATACGACAATTCCCGCAACCATTGTTCAAATTCAAAATGCAGGCTTTCAGTATTTTTTCCAAAAACAAGCTATTATAAGTTTTGCATGTAATAAACAGAAAGTTAACAGTTTCTTATCTGAACTAGTAAAAGTGCTTGTGATAAGAAAAATATTAAGAATACACAGTTTTGGACATTTGGGTATATCCTGTTGTAATACCAGATAAAAAGTTAAGAATTTTCTCCCAAAAATTTTCAACTAAAGGACACTTCCATAAACAATGATATAGAGTTCCTACCTCTTTATTGCATTTTACGTATTGATCGGGAATGTTTGGATTAAATTTGTGAAGTAATTCAGTAGTTAAATACAGTCTCATATTCCATTTTATTGCAGAAGTTTGAATCGTGTATTAATTGTTTGGGTTTGTGCCTTTAGACAGATACTCTGCCATTCATATTCTGTGATACTTTCTCTCATATCTTGACACCATACTAAACGTGTATTTTCTGATCTTTCCTTGCAATTACCAGTAGCTTAATAGCAGATAACTGTAAAAATCAGTGGTTTAAAACTAAGATTTCAAGGGTGAGTAAATTGTGATTTTTTTTTTTTTAATTTTTGGATGAACAATCCCTTTGGGGTTGTTATTATGATGTCTTTTTGACTATATTTAAATACATAAATTTTTACCTTTTAATAAACATTATTTATACAAGTCAACATAAATTCTACTGTCTTTACTTTGCAAATATATTACATAATCCTAACCAAATCTGTAGTGTATCTAAAGTGTATCCCTGCTGGATTTCCTGATAAGTTACCATTTTGTTTTAACTATCTAACTGATTTGATTTAGGTTACTTTGTATCAAGTATGTGATGTGATAGTCAGCAGTGCTAAATGTTGGTAGCATTGATATTATAGCTTTGTCCACTAGATGTAGCAATCTCTTTGAGAAAATAAAGACAAGACAGTCCATTTAAAATTGTGTATATGTATACAGTATGTGTGTGCGTGTGTGTGTGTGTGTGTGTGTGTGTGTGTGTGTGAGTACACCCCTCACAAATCTCTCATTTAAATGAGTATTTTCTAAAGCAAGCTTTACAGTATTATATCTGTGCATATACATTCAATTAGTACTAAAGCCAAATCTATAGCTAATTGAACAAAATAACATGATAATGGTCCAAAATTAGTAGGCCAAATTTATATATTTGGGGAAAAAATGTAAATAAAAATTCAAAGAGCAAAATTCAAGAGAAACAAAAAATTAAAAAATGTTGAAATTTTACAGTTTATAATTTTTATTTGCAATATTTCACATCAATTTAAATGTATTATCTTCCCATTTCTAAAGACGTTCCATAACTAAAGCATTATTTTAATAATATATCCATTTAATCTGTTTTGTTCAAATGTACCAATATATACATACATACATACATACATACAGAACTCAACAAAGACTGTACTTCCTTCGTCAGCTAAGGAAGTTCAACAACCCAAAGGAGCTGCTGAAACAGTATTACACTTCCATCATTGAATCAGTTCTCTGCAAGTCAATAACTGTCGTTTAGCTCAGCTACCAAATCTGACCTTCGCAGACTACGTCAAATAGTTTGGACTGCTGAGCGATGGTACAACCCTGCCCACTCTCCAAGAACTGTACTTATCCAGAGCGAGCAGAAGGGCAACCAAAATCACTCTGGACTGCTCACACCCAGCAAACTGCCTCTTTTACCTAGCTGTTACCTTCTGGTTGATGCTACAGAGCACTGAGGACCAGAACAGCCCAACACAGAAACAGTTTCTTCCCTCAGGCAATCCATCTCATGAACACTTGATGATAATAATTATGAAAGAAACATCACTACTTGCTATACACTTTTTAGACTTATTTTTATTTTTTATAGACTTATTTCACTTTTTTATAACTTACTTTACTTGCCAATTTGCACATAGCAGCTGCACATATAACGTTGTATCTAGTTATATACCTGTACACACACTTGTCAATTTGTATATTTGCATTCACTACTAACTTCTATTTTTTAAAATACATTTATTATCGTTTTTTGTTCTGTCTCTGTAGTTCTGTTGCACTGTAGAAGCTTTGTCACGAAAACAAATCCCTCGTATGTGTGAACATACCTGCCAATAAAGCTCTTTCTGATTTATATATGTACAGTTGAAGTCAGAATTATCAGCCCCCCTGAATTATTAGCCCCCGTTTATTTATTTATTTTTTCAAAATTTCTGTTTAACGGAAAGAAGATTTTTTTTCCAACACATTTCTAATCATTAGTTTTAATAACTAATTTCTAATAACTGATTTATTTTATCTTTGCCATGATGACAGTAAATAATATTTTACCATATGTTTTTCAAGACACTTCTATACAGCTTAAAGTGACATTTAAAGGCTTAACTAGGTTAATTAGGTTAACTTGGCAGGTTAGGGTACTAATGCAAGTTATTGTATAATGATGGTTTGTTCTGTCTATCGAAAAAAAAACTATCGCTTGAAGGAGCTAACAATTTTGTCCTTAAAATGGTGTTTAAAAATGTATAACTTTTTATTCTAGCCAAAATAAAACAAATAAGACTTTCTCCAGAAGAAAAAATATTATCAGACATACTTTGAAAAATTCCTTGCCCTCTTAACATAATTTGTTATTTATTTAACATTTATATGGGGTATGCCACTGGAGACATACCATATAACACAAAGGAATAGCTCTTGTGCAGATGTTTGACCTGCTCAAGGTTAGATCTGTGAGAAAATTTCTCCTGTCATTTTGATGTATACTCAAATACTTCCATCTTCTGAGAAGCAAATAGTTTGTGTGAAATGTTTACATAAAATATGTGACGTGCATCTGAGGTAGAATAAACTATGGTTAATTGCTCAAAGCAGTTCACGAATGATTGACAAAGAGCACAATGGCCTTGATGGGGAGGAAAAGAAGCCAACCGATGCTGCTGTGCTGTTTCGCACACCTGCCAACATGAC